AGGCGAGAAGATGTAGATGTTAATTCGCGATGATAACAAGGAAATTGGATGGGCTCGATTTCTAGAGCTTTTCTATGAAAAATATTTTCCATAGTGTATCTGGTATAGGAAGGTATCCGAATTTGAGGGGTTAAAGCAGGGGAACAAGATAGTGGCAGAATATGAGACTCAATTCACGGAATTGGCACACTTTGCGCAGCATATGGTCGATACGGACTACAAAAATAGGATCAGAATTACTAGGGCTTTCGGGAGAGGAGTATGACTCTGGACACTCATCCGGAGAAAAAATTGGTAGTAGAGGAAGGAAAGTAGTCTCTTGCAACCAGGTGACTTTCTGTCTATCCTTGTCCCTAATATAAACTTTGTATGCTTCCTTCTTAACAACTGCTAGTTCATCATCCTCAATCTGTTCAACCACTGGCGGTAGTGGAACAATCTCTTCACACCAAGGCTCCCCCTGAAGGGATGACTGTGACACAAGGGAGGTGAGAAAGTAAGATTGAGACTCAAAGAAGGTGACATCCATAGAGACAAACCATTTGTGAGTGGGACAATGATAACACTTATAACCCTTTTTGGTTGCAGAATAACCCAAAAATACACACTTAAGAGACCTAGGATCCAATTTATCACAAGTGGGTGAATGATTATAGACAAAACAAACATAGCCAAAGGTCTTAGGGGAAATTAAAAAAACCCGGAAGAGGTAGACCCGAACAAAACTTGAACAAATGTTTGTTTTTGAAGGACTTGGGTAGGAAGACGATTAATCAAATAAGCAGCAGTGAGAACCATTTACCCCCAATAGGATCGAGAAACCCGCATCTTAAAGGATAGACACCGGGCCACATCAAGGAGATGGCACTTTTTCCGTTCTGCAATACCATTTTGTTGAGGGGTATTAGTGCATGAAGTTTGGTGAATAATGCCATGAGTGGCGAAATAACTGACAAGATCAGAGTCAATATATTCCCTCCCCCTCCCCCCAAACTGAGTACAAACCATTTTATGAAAGTTTTGAAACACAGAAAACACCTCACTGTTATCCTTCATCAGATATACCTAAGTGGCCCTATAATAGTCATCTATGAAAGTAACAAACTATTTTTGACCCTTTAAAGACACAAAACGGGATGGACCCCATACATCAAAATGAATTAAAGAAAATAGAACTGAACTTTTATTAATAGAAGGAGTACAAGAAGCTTTGTGTTGTTTTCCAAGTTGACAAGACTCGCATTGAAAATCAGACACATTATTTTTCTCAAAAACAGAAGGAAATAAATGCTTAAGTAATAAAAAGGAGAGATGTCCTAAGCGACGGTGCCACAACCAACGATCTTCCTTAGTGGATGGTAACTTAATAGAATAATGAGACAGGTTGTCTGTCTGATCCAGAATGTAGAGACTATGTTTCTCTCTACCACTGTCAATCCTCGTCCTCGTGATCAGGTCCTAAAAAATGACAATGATTAGGAAAAAAACGCCACGCCACAATTTAAATCACAAGTAATACGACTCAAAAATAAAAAATCAACACTAAAATTGGGAACATGGAGTACAAAGGATAAAAGAAGGGAAAATGTGGCATGAATTAAACCTTTTTCCTGACATAGAGGAAATAGTACCATCAGCAATACGCACTTTTTCCTGACCTGAGGAGGGGTTATACGCTGAGAATAAATTAGAAGAGCCAGATATATGGTCGGAAGCACCAAAATCAATAATCCATGGTACAATCGGATGAGATAGCAATGCACATGTGGAGAAAGCCAAATTACCTGAATTTGCAGAGGAAGAAGAGGGTGCACCTGTAGTAGAAGTGGAGGCTCGACGGTCTAGCAAGTGGCGAAGAGCAATCTCAAAATCCGAGGCAAATAATCCCGAAACATCAGCAGCCGATGATACAACTGGAGATGAAGATGGTGGCTTAACCATGTCTAAAAGATATGCCCGAGCATTGGCCCCCCGACCTCTAAACTAACCAGACCTACCCCCTCGAGTACTAAGACGGTCTCCTTGGCCACCAAAAGGAGTCCCATGCAGCTTGTAACAAGTCTCTCGTGTGTGTCAAGGTCGACAACAATAGTCACATAAAAGATTATCCTTCTCAAAAGAAGAACGAGAACCACGAATCACATGCTCTCCATCTCGAGGGGGTGCGGAAATCAAGGTAGAGTGATCAATAGTGGCAAAAGGAAGCATCACAGAGCGACGACTCTTCTCATTCTACACAAAAGCAAAGGCTTCCTGAAGAGAAGGAAACATGTCCATGCCAAGTACTCTACTCTGAACTAGATCATACTCCATATTCAAGCCTTCTAAGAACTTGAAGACCCACTTTTGTGCCACAAACTTCCAGTAACCAGCAGAATCAATGGGACAAATAGGTTTATAATCCTGAAGGTGATCAAGCCGCTTTCATCCATTGCTAAGGAAGGTAAATACTGGAGAATATTCATCTCACCTTGTACCGACCTTTCAATGGAGTGACGTAACTCGAAAGTCTGTGAGAAATTCCCCTTCCTGGAGTAAGTAGTAGCTACAGCCTCTCAAATATCCTAGGCAGTGTCCATAGACAAGTAGCCATCTCCAATCTCCGGTAACATAGAATGTATCAACCAACCCATGATTAGAGAGTTGGTGATCTCCCACTGGTCATAACTAGAATCCGTAGTACTGGGTGCCTGTATCCTTCCATCAACATACCCCATCTTCTCTCTACTCTTTAAAAAAATAGTCAAGACTCTACAACCATGCTAGATAATTTTGACCATTAAATAGAGAGGTGGTGATTTTAAGGTCAAGGTTGAGGTTATCAGTCATAATAGGAGGTGTAATGGAACTCTTGCTCTTAGGTGGCTGAGAAGTAGTGGACTCACTAATGGAATCTGCTATGGATACTCTACTATGTAACTCTCAAACACAATGTCAATCACAAACTTGGAAGATAACAGTGGAAGAAAAGACACAACTACCACTATGAAAGCATAAAGAATGAAGAACTCATATATATCATTTTTTTTTTTTTTTTTTTTTGTAACAGGGAGAATAGGTTTACAGGATTATATACCAAAAAACAAGAGCCCAGACCATTTGTTGCATCCTAGTCAACAAAGAAGAAAGGTCGAACTGGACAAGGGTTGACTGGAAGTGATCTAAGGGACATCCAGGGCTGCCAACAGACCTATAATGATAGCCTAGGGCTGACAACAGACCTAGAGAAGAACAGAAAAGGCTTTGGCTGCCCTGGTAGGGGGCCGACTGACCTTTTGCTGCCCTGGGTGAGAGCCAAATGTCCAAGAGTGACCTTCAGTTGGCCTGGGTGGGAGTCGACTGACCTTCTACTGCCCTGGGTGAGGACCGACTGTCCCAGACGAGTTTGGGTGGCCTGGGCAGTCCTTCAGTGGACGCAAGGTGATCTTTGGTTGGTGCAAAGTTTCTCCTATTGAGGCTCTGATACCATGAAAGTTTAGAGAAGAGAAAGAGTTAGGGAATGAGTGAAACCTCATCCCCTTTTATATAAAGAATAAAGCATAATTATAGGAGTGCCATAAGGCATGAATTATGGGCCAACTCATTACAGCCCATTACTTGAAATTAGAATAAAATATGTGAATATAATTCCCTATTCTAACATGATATTGAAGTAGAATTAGAAGTTATTAAACTTTCCTATTATGATTAAGGTAGAATTGGAAGTCATAGTTGGTCTAGAATATTAGTAGTTGCTAAATATTTTTAATTTCTAAATTTGAGTTTTAAGTCTTATAGAATTAGAAGAGTCGTTAACCTATAAATATATGTGTAATCTCAATGATTCAAGAGAAGAGTTAATATTATGAAAATTTGAGATTGTGCTTGTGTGATTAGCCTATCCCTTTGTGAGGGTCAAGAACCCCTCTCTCTCTCTCTCCATCCAGCATGTCACTGTTCACAGTGGTTAATACAGCCACCCAACAGCCCCTAAACACTTGTATTTTTATTCCCAAAACCCTACCCTTTTACAAACCCTTCCTAATTTTTAATTACATTTGCAGCCACAAGATCCCAACAAATCCTACCATCTAAGTCTATTGTTGCTGCTGCCAGTATACTTAACCCAAGCTCACTACTTATAGGAAAATAATCCGTACTTGTCCTACATCATTGCAATTTGATTGCATCATATAGTCTGACTAGGATCAAACACCCAATCATTCATGGACTTTCAAATACACCAGCTGACCACCACTACTTTCCCAACACGGGAAAGATGATAAGCAGCATTTGAACAGTGCTCCATGATAACCAGAGTCCACTTGAGAGCAGACATTATAGACACCTCGCTGGTCTTGTAGCATAAATCACTACCAAACCATACAGCTTTGGCCCATCTGCAATGAAAAAGCAAGTGTTCCACAAACTCTACTGCATCAACGCAGGTAGGGCAAGTTGTGAAGCAGAACTTTACAGTAATGGAGATTTTCCTTAGAAGCCAGCATAAGCCAGCATAATCATGCATACACACTCCACCAAAAGTTTCAAATTTTAGGAGAAACCTTCATATTCTAAATAAGCTTCCAAAGCTCTTATGGAGGTTGAAAGGAAGAGGAGGCCAAAGTCTTGCCCCTGTCATGCTGGTCTTTAATGGCCACCTGGTGTTCCTAAAAAATTAAAAGCTCTGGTGCTCAGCATAAGGGGGAAGAAGGAAAGGGGAGGAAGGAGAGAGGACTTCTTTTTCTGGATATTTAAATTTACATCCAACAATGCCCAAATTAGCTTTGACAACAGTATTGGATTCAGATAATAGTTTCTTTTGGTTGTCACAAACTTGGCACCAAGTTTATTTTAACCAAAATTAATCAAGTAAATTAGCCACAATTAATCGCTCAATCAAATCATCAAATTACCATATAGTAATTAAACAATCAAATTAGCAATCTCAACCACAACCGCAAGATACACAAACATAACTAAGCTTTTAATGAAACTATAGATTGTGACGTGAATCTTACAGTTTTTGAAATGTTGCTAGGTCTAGGGAAAACCCCCCATGTCGAAATCTTTGGCTTGTATATATCTGACTGGTCTTCCTCGGTTGAACTTGGCTTTGACACTGTAGCATTTCCAAAGTTGCTAGTGTCCCCAACAAGTATTTCTACATCACGCAAATCTCTTTCTGGGAATGAATCTGCCACTGGAACCAACCCAGCTGGAAGACCCCTGCTCTTCTTCTTTTCCCCAAAGTCAAGCCCCATAAAATCAATGCTTGAAATCTTTCGTTCTTCCTTCGTAGCGACCATCTTATCAAATAATGCATTTCCTCCCTTCAATCCTAGGACCAATGAACATAAAAATTTTAGTCCATGTTCTATTCAAAATGTCTCATTTTGTTTTGCCAATCACCTTCTCAAAGGATCAGATTGCACATATATCATGTCTAATTCATAATTATGTTAAATATATAAGGAACTAAAAAAGTGGTATTTCTCAAAGAACGAAATTCAGACAAGAATACAAATCAAAAGGTATACAGTTTCAGCATTTCCCCAGGGATCATTTCTGTCCACATGGTGACATGGACGACGTCCCATTTAAATGCGCACTGAATGGCCAAAATAGATTGGCTACACCAATCTCAAGAAGTAGGAATTGATAGCATTGGCAAAATAGGATGTTCAAATTTTCATTCTCATCCAACCAATAATGTTCTCTTGAAGCTACTTGATGATTATGCAATAATCATATGCTAATTTATTAAACAAAATTACAAAAATCCATGAAGAAGAAGAAGAAGAAGAAGAAAAAGGGAAACAACAAATCAGCTACAATCCCAAATAAAGATGAAGACGAACTCACATTTTTCAGACACTACCTGAATTCGTTTGACTTTCCTCCACACTTTTACTACTTCCCATTACTCCTTTGTTCTTCAGATACTCTTTTGCTTTCTCCATTCCCAGTTTAACAGAAGCCGGGACCTCCTGATTGCCACCAATAGTAACTTCCGACGGTGACCCATCATTTTTAGTATCTAATTTAGCACATTCTAAGAAATGGGGTTTCAGTTTGTCACCATAATCATTGCACAGAATTGAGCATAAGGATTCAAACAATCAAGAACCAGTCAAAAATTCCAAATAACAATGAAGTGAAATCCTCAAGTTTCCTTTAATGAAAAGTACCTGAAAATAATGCTTCACTCTTGTCAGCAATTCCACTGCTGCTACCTGCAATGATTTCATTGTTTTTCTCATTTTCTTTCTCCATCTCGTTACAGGCAAGCTCATTTGTAATTCCAGTTTCATCAGATTCCGAAAGTGAAAGTGGGTTTTGATTTTGAACAATAATAACGTTGGGAGTTGGGTTCGATTTCTTGTAGGCCGTAGCTTTGGCAAATGCGAGCTTCACTGGGTCGTGGGTTTTGCTAGGTTCCGCTTGGGATGACTTTTCTGGTGAATATGAAGAATTGGGTTTGGGTTTTGGTAGTGAAGATTCAGCATTGGAAGAGGATGACGAGGCTTTGAGGGCCTTGAATGTGCAGTTTCTGGAGGGGTTTGCTTTGGTGTTGGTGTTGGTGTTGGTGGGTCTTACTGATAGGGTATTAGTATAATAATAAAACCACGAAGGCTGTGGAACAGAGGCCATGGTTTTTAGGCTGAAATTCCAAACTGCTCTTCCCTTAGACGGCTAGTTTTGGCCGTACCATACCCGTATCTTTACTCGATGGACCTCATAATTCTGGTGGTCGCAGGACAAAGAAAGTGGTAATTCTATATAACAAATCCCCTCATCTTAGTGCATATTAATGAATTTCAAATCTTATAATCTGTTTGGTACACATCTTACCTTACTAAAAATACATCTTTTTCATCATTCAACCCCTAACCCTAGCTCCCTAATCTTTATTTTCTTCATTCATCGCCAACCAACCACCATCTCTTCTGCTGAATACTTGTATCGCCAACGCCACTCATCCTTCTACCGTCGTTGGCTGCTATTACTAATCCATTTAGTCTATAGCGTCCAGTTTCACTATTCACTATTTTTTTCTAATCCCTAGGCACCGTGACCTTATACCACATCATCTACCATGAATATAAGGACATTCAGTGAAGAGGCTACAGAGGATGACTTTGGAAACCAAGTTGGAAAAAATGGCACCGCAAAAAGAGTAGTTAAAGTCACCGCCGCCAAGGGAGTGATTGGGATTACAGCTTAGGAATTAGGTTTTGGATAAGGAAGATAAGGTTATTTTGATAATTTTATTTTTGGACAAAATTGTAATTAAAAAAAAAGATTAATTGTGTGCACAAAAAAAGTATATAATATGTAGAAATAGAATTATCCCAAAGAAAGCTTTAGGCTACGTTTGCAACAAAATCATATCCATTAAAAATTAATTGATTTCGAAAATGGTGCTCAGATGATAAATTCATATTTGGATTTTCTTTGTCTAAAGGTTCAGGCTTGAAACTATTATGTCCATAAAGACATACTTCTACATTAACTTAACTAGCTCTATATATTTAAAACCACGTGTGTTCTTTTACCATCAAACCCATCTCTCTCTTTATCTCTAAATCACATTGTTCTCTTTATCTCTCCTTTAATCTTTCTCTTTATCTGTTTAAAGCCTCTTCTTTGAGTTCTCCATGTTCTACCGGCGGTTCACCTTCATGTCGTCGTCGATGTTTAAAGGAGGAAAGAAGAGATTCGTCACTGGCGACCCCAAGGGCTTCGTCACCGCCGCACTCCCACTGCCGCCGATCCGACTCCAATATATACAGATTTGTAGATCAGGCTACCCTAACCCTTGATCTAAAACACCACCACGCTTTACCATCAACACTGACTTCTCTACCAAAACCCTAGTTTTTCTCCTAGGGTTTCATTTTCTCTTTCGTCAATGACAACACCACTGATTAGAATATCACACACCGCAACGCAAATTATTACCGATGATGATCCAAATCCAAATGTTGATCAGAGCTTGACATGTGGCCTTTTCAACTACTAACATTAACTCAACCCAAGTTTGCTAGTGCAACGTATAATGATGGCGAGTTCACTAGTGGTTGGTGGTGTTTGTGGTGGTGATGTGTGGTGTTTGTGGTGGTAGTCTATTGTTCTTTTTCTCTCTTGTCTCTTTTTTGTTTTGTTTTGTTTTGTTTATTCCTACAGATATAATGAGTGAGAGAGAGAGAGAGATGATGATACGTAAAAGATAGATGTTATTGTTGTTGTTTGTGATGATGATGATGATTGCAACAAATCGTGGCTTGCACATCTCTTAGTTCAAAAATAAATAAATAAAATAGCTGTTTTATTTCAATAGATCATTTTCTTTTAACAGATAAAATTCAACATATAACAAAATTTCAACAGATCAAGTGGTAAATTTCAATATATAGCAAAATTTTAACAAATTAAATTCAACACATAGGGAGAGAAAGAGAGAGAAGAAAAGGAAAAGTGTAAAAATTCAACAGATCAGGTGGTAAATTTCAACAAATGGAAAAATTTTGAACAAACAAAGGGAAAAATTGAACAGATAGAAAATAATTTGAACAGATAGTTATAAATTTAAATAGATAGTAAAAAAAATTAAACAGATAAAAAAAAGTCAACATATATATTTTAAGGGGTAAAATTAAAAATAAAATATCCTCCAAAACTAACACAAAGATATCTCACAAAACTATTTTACAAAATGTGGATCTCTCTCTAACAAAAAATATTTACTGGATCTAATGTCTTATATCTTCATTAGATTGGATTTTTCAACAATTTTCTCTTTCGAAAAAAAGCAAAAGAGAAGGTGTTTGGATTACAAATTAGGGAAATTACAATTACATGGAGTAGTGAGAAAAACAAATTGCAATACAAATAGATTTATTTATTTATTTATTTTTATTTTTTTTGTACGACTTTGATATACAGGAAAAGTTGCACTAAGTACATGAATGAATTTGTACCATGCACACAAGAGACTTTCATCGCCTTGAAAATGCTATTTTTTTTATTTTTTGGTAATAAATTATGTTGATATTGGAAAAAAATGTAGTAAGTCTTACAATTTTAGTATAATTATGTTTATTTTTTATTTATTAAGATCAAAAAGACCATAACTAATACAAATAATATAAAAATACAACAATAAATAATATATATTTTTTAGTGTAAAAAATATAATAATATCATTTTTTCATCCACATGACTAACGAATTATTGATCAAAATAGATAAAATATTATATGAATTAAGACATTAAGGTAATGTTTGGTTTCTAGAATGGGTTTGAATTGATTAGAAAAATAATAAACAAACACACGACAAATTTACCATTGTAAAAAAATGATCATTCTATAATTTTTTTTTTAAGAAATAATCATTTCATTTCATTTTAGCGAATCAAATAATGAGCATAAGAGAATCTAAATGTGTAATGCCTTAATTTTTATAAATTAATTTGACGTTCAAAAGTGTCGTCAACAAACATTTGAGAACCTCTTAAAAAATAGATTAAAATTGTTGGTAACAATTAGGGTAAATTACACTTATCCCTTTGGAGAGATTTGAACAAAATATAATAAATTCTGCAGTCGAGTTCTCTTAAAATTTTGATTCATATAACACTTAACTCATTTTTTATCAATAATTTGTTAGTTATATGAATGAAAAATAGATCTTATCATCTCTTTCCTTTTTTTTTTCCTTTTTTTTTTGGTCGATTATGGCATGTTAATTATGATCAAATCAATTGTAATTGATTATGACCCGTCAATTATGATTTATCGATTAAAACCATAAAATCATTTTTAGAGAATAATCTATGACCACATTATTTATTATTATTATTGTTGTTGCTGTTGTTATCATTTTGCTTGTATATGCAGTGGCATGTTGTACAAGTTAAGGGATGGCAACTTGAGGCTACAAAAAATCATCGAACTTCTCTATGATGGTGGCAACGTTTGGCTAAAAATAAGAAACCAACTTCTCTATGATGGTGGCAACGTGTGCAATTTACTAGGGATGGGGGATGATTTTTGTTGTGGAGGTCAAGTCGATGAAAACTGCCTCTAGCAATTAGTTTCAAAGAAGGGACCTTCGGTTTCACGCCTATAAAGCAAGTGTCACGCCCCGACAATTTATGTGACACAAGGAGCAGCGTGGGCGATATGCTGAAGGCGCTGGAAGGTTCCGGAATGTGGGAGACCAACCTAGAGTATGCTGGAAGACTCTAGAACGTGGTAGAAGGGTCCGGAGTGCCCTGGAAGATTCCGGAATGTGGAAGAGCCTTGGAGTGTCTAGCAGAGCCTGGATGGGTCTGAAACATCCTAGATTGTCTTGGAGAAGCCTACCATGTACTACACTAGTGTGGAGAGTTCTAGATTGTAGTAGATAGGGTAGTTGTCCTAGATAGTTCTATGAAATGTTCTAGATGAGAGTTTGTAGCCCTTGGATCAAGATGATCTGAGCCGTCCATTAAGGAGGGGGATGGCTATATAAGGGTGGGGGGTCTCATTTGCTAGGCACCTAGAGACCTGGAGATCCAAGAGAGCTCTAAGAGTGAAGCACTTGTGAGTGTGAGAGTGAGAGCCTTGTAAGCTTTGTACACGACTATACTTGTAAAAGTTAACTTGTATAGTGAAGGCATTCTTCCACCTAAACTATGTGTGTTAGCGTGGTTGAGTGGCATTCTTCCACCTAAACTGTGTGTGTTAGTGTGGTTGAGTGGGTAAGGCTGACTTAGGTGCAACCAAGAGGGTTGAGAGGCATCTAAGGCCGCACGGTAGGCTTGCGAAGTCTAAGTCCGTGATACAAGGAACATGCCAGCAAATGATCATCAACCAAACCCAACAACTCTACATGAGTTCAAGTAGGAGTAGAGATAGCTTCCATTAGAGGATTATTTTATTCGCTAGTATTAATTTAGTGATTCTATAATCATTTTTTAGTTTTTGTAATCAGTTAACCAATATTTTTTGGTTCTTATAATTAGTTATCCAATATTTTCTAGTTCTTGTAATTCATAAATATATGTTCCTGTTCTTTTGTATTTTTGTTCTTGTTCAAGTTATTTGTAACATGTGACAACTTCATTAATACCATATCAATTTTAGCTTGTTTCTTCCTATCGATTTCTTCCAAAGAAGTGCTTGGTTTGTTCAAGGCATTAGAACACTACCACATCGCTTGGTCTATTGTGTTTTGTAATTTTTGGTTTTCGCTGTCAACTATTCTCTATCAATCTTGTCTAAACTAAATTTTGGCTAACATAAATTGGCACGCCTGGAAGAACCTTTTTAATTTGGAGTTATGGCGATGAAGAAGTAGACTGATGAGTATGGAATCATGCATTCAATAGGTATGTTTACACCTTGTGCACCCATAAATGCAAACCGCCAATAGAGTTGCAGTGTTCCCATGGATACAAATTGTCACGATCTGAACGCACCCTTACAGGTTTGGATCATAACTGGACAGTAATCATGAAATTACCTACGACCTTAGACAGAATTTCAAATTGTAATAAAGTAAACGGGGCTAGAAGCATAAGTAGACAATGATATAATATGTCCAATAAGCTGTGCATATATGACATATCGGAAAACTTATGAGTTAATAACCCACATTCAACATACATTTGTACAAACATACATTCATTATACATACACTCTTGATTACATATTCAAAGACTTAACTCATAAGAGTGCAATTCATCAACTTGCAAAACTTAAAATTCTTGTAAACAAAACATGGTCAAATATGACCAACAAAAACAAAAGATAACAAAAGCCTTATCAAGAGGCACTCATGGGATTTTCTAGTTTTTTCTCTGCTATCTATTGGTAGTCTGCTGGGTGTTCTGCTACTGGAGGTTATTGTTCTGCTATTTTTGTTCTACTGGAGGATCATGTGGCAGCCATTTTGCTCTGTTGTTGATGGCTTATGTAGAAGCCCTTTGCTTTTCTAGTTTTTCTTCCTTTGTTTGTTGTTGGTCTCTCACCAACTGGAGCTCCTCTTTATTGATGTACTCGTTCATACTTCGTATGCTTCTATCAATAAAGATTTTGTTTTGCCGATCAAAAAAAAAAAAAAGAGGCACTCTTGGGTTGACTTCAAAAAAAACTCGGG